ATTTAATTATTACCTTCTGAAGATAGAATCACAAAAAATCAAGGGAAAACAAATCTAATGACAAAAAGAGAAGTTCTTAAAACTATTGGAAAGCTTTACGATCCCATTGGATTTATAAGTCCATTCACTATTAGGGCAAAAATACTAATGCAGGAAATTTGGCAATTTGGGGTAGATTGGGATGATCCGTTACCATTGGGCTTTGAAAACAGAATGAAAAAATGGATTAATGAACTGTCAGCGATTCAGAATGTAAACATTCCACGACATTACTTCCGAAAGACTAAAAAGTCTGAATTGAGAGATGTTCAAATGCATTGCTTTACCGACGCAAGTCAGAAGGCATATGGAGCTGTGATATACCTGCGATACGTCACGATGGACAATAATAAGTGAAATAGGAAGTAGTTTTGTCATTTCCAAAACCAGAGTAGCTCCACTGAAGAAGCTGCCCCTTCCAAGATTAGCCTCAAATGTGAAAGAACAGTTAAAGACTCCAGATGAATGTATATTTTTGGTCAGACTCTTCTGTTACGTTACATTGGATAAAGGGCGATTTAAATAAATGGAAGCCATTCATCCAACATCGAGTAATGGAAATACGAGAGAAACATCACCTGAGTCCTGGAATTATTGCCCTGGAGATAAAAATCCGGCTGATATGCTGACCAGAAGAAAAAAGACAAATTCCACAAAAGGAATAACGTTGTCGGAACTACGAAATAGTGACATGTGGTGGTAATGGACCTAAGTGGCTATTACAGAGCATAGATTCGTGGCCTAAACTTTCAGAATCAGTAAGAGATTTCAAGGATCATGAAGAGCTTGAACTTCAAAGGGGAGCTGTAGTGAACTCAACAGTCACAGGTGAAAATTCCATTGAGAACGAATTCATTAAAAAGGTATTCGTCATTCAGCAAATTGAGTAGAACTACTGCGTGGTGTTTAAGGTTTGCGAACAACCGTAGAACCAATCCACCATTAAGGAAAGAAAGTTTTTTGAGTGCTTCTGAACTACAGAATGCAACAAAGGTTCTAGTCAAATGTGTACAACATTCTGAATTTCAACCTGAAATTAAGTGCCTGCAGTCGAAACGATCAGTTCCAAGTAATAGTAAGGTTTTATCCTTAAATGTATTTCTGGATGAAGATGAACTTTTACGAGTTGGTGGGAGACTACGTTACTCCCAATCTTGTCAGATGACCACAAACATCAACTTCTTTTACCCAAAAAGACATCATTTCACTGAATTACTCATAGATTATTATCACAAAAAATCTCTTCATTCGGGCGTTCAAACAACACTTTCTCTTATTAGACAATTATACTGGATACCTTCCGGACAAGATAGAGTTAGACGCGTTATAAGTAAAATGCATGACGTGCTTTCGGACAAGGAACCAAACCATAAACCAAATGATGGGAGACTTGCCTAGAGATAGAGTTGTAATAACTAGACCATTCGAAAAAATAGGACTGGACTTTGCAGGTCCAGTTAATCACCAAGCCTAATTTTGAAAAGATCTAGAGTTACTTTTAAATCATACATCGCGATATTTATTTGCTTTAGTACAAAGGCTATTCATCTAGAAGTAGTATCGGATTTGTCTACTGAAGCCTTTCTAGCATGTCTTAGAAGGTTTATTGCCAGACGATCTAAACCATCCATTGTTTGGAGTGATAACGCTACAAACTTCAAGGGAACGAAGAATGTTCTTGACAAACTCTTTAGAATTTGTAGATCGGATCCTATTCAGCGCTTTAGTTCCGAAAAAGGTATAACATGGAAATTTATTCCTCCTTCTTCCACGCATTTTGGCGGATTATGGGAGGCTAATATAAAATCAATGAAGAGAATTTTGACAAAGGTCGCGAAAACGACAATTTTAAACTTTGAAGAGCTGTATACATTAATTACACAAATAGAAGCCTGCTTGAACTCTCGACCTCTGTCACCTTTTTCCGCTGATCCAACAGATCTTCAGCCTTTGACTCCAGGTCATTTCCTAATAGGAGCTCCACTTTTGTCGATACCAGAACCTAATGTAGATTCTTTGACCATGTCTTCTAGATGGACCTTAATTCAAAAACTTAGAGCTAATTTCTGGAACCGTTGGAGCGTGGAATATCTTAATCATTTGCAGAACCGCTCAAAATGGAATCAAGTGAGATCCAATCTCAAGGCAGGACAACTAGTCTTGTTAAAGGATAAAAACAAGACACCCATGAAGTGGACACTAGCTCGCATCGAGGAAACCTTTCCTGGTCCAGATGGACTAGTACAGGTCGTAGACGTCAGAACTTCAGATGGAATCTTTCGCCGAGCCGTCTCCAATATCAGTCCACTCCCATTTCCAAATGATGTTGGACAGTCGTCCAACGGGGGCCGGGATGTTCCGGTTTGACTAGAAACTTTCACTATGCCGATGTTCCGGTTTGATTAGAAACAAACTTTTCTCTGCCTCAGAATGGCAACAGTGAGAACTTGACTTTCGATTTGTTATGACGCAGTTAGAACACTGCTCATGAGATGTAACATTCGATTCAATTCTAGATTCTAGATTAGATTAATTTTAGTATTTTAATAAATCCTTTTAAAACTAGATTGAGTATTTGATCATAGAATTATAGCTGAACCACCGCTTGCAGAAATTTAGATGTGGCATTTAGATACGTCATTAGATTCATAGTTAGATGCGTAGGCAGCGACATTCGTGATTCGAATAGTGTACATTAGTGCATACATAAACAGTTTCTTTGAGGGCTGTTCTCAAACCAAGTAGCACAGTTGGTAGAACTTTTGTTCATTTTAGCATGCTATGACACATTAGTGTAGCTTTTAGAGGACGGTGAAATTCCTCAATCAAGCCACCCACTGCTTTGAGGATTATAAACAGTTGTGCATTTCATTGTGGACCTAGGGGTTTAGTTAGAACTTTAAATAAAGAAAACTCGAATTGATGTCCTTGATCAGTTGTAATAGTAGTGGGCACACCAAAGCAGACGATCCATTTGGTGTAGAAGGCCTCCACTACCGTTGTAGCTTAAATGTTGATGATGGGGATAGCTTCTGTCCATCTAGTAAACTGATCGATAGCTTTTAGGCAATATGTGAATGCATTGGAAGGTGGAAGTGGGCCAATAAGATCTATATGAATGTGTTGAAATCGCGTAGAAGTTGCACCAAATGATTGTAAAAGGCTGAAGTATGTTTGTTTATTTTAGATTTCTGACACAAAATACACGGTCTTGCCCAGTTTGTGACGTCTTTGTTGATATTTGGCCACATATACCGACTACGAACTATTTTTGATGTCGTTTGAATGCCTGGATGAGCTAAATTATGTACGCAATTAAAACACAATTTCCAAAAAGCCTTAGGCATATAAGATCTTGCTATACCTGTCACAATACAATTCTATTTGTGAATTTGAGAGCTTAACTTTTTCATTTGTAAAGAATTGTTAGTGTTAAGTACTTCTTTTAATTCATCATCTCTTGATTGTGCTCGAGCAACTTCTTCATTGATTTTAATTTCTTGAATGTGGGATAATGTGTCAGCCTCAGCTTCTTTAATGTACTACATATCATTTGGGAACTGAGAAATAAAATTTAGTTGATGAGTTTGATGTGGGAAACATTTTTAAAGTTTTTGTTTGAAAGCAAATATTAATGGTTAGCGGTCAGTAAATACTGTAAATTTGTGTCCTTCTAGCATGTATCTAAATTTGCGAATGGATGAGTATATTGCTAATAACTTTATCATCAGCATTGCATTTTGTCACAGTGGTTGTGAGCTTTCTAGAGAAAAATGCTAGAGGTTCAAGTCCTTGTTTGGTGACTTGATTTACAGATCTGCCAATAGCATAGTCAGATGCATGAACTTGTTGAAAGATAGTCAGATGCATGAACTTGTTTAAAGATAGTCAGATGCATGAACTTGTTGAAAGATAGATGCATGGTTCACAGAAAATCTATTGTTTCAAAATATTTAACTCCAGATATATTGATTGTTATGAACATGTCATTCAGTTTCAAGAGCTGATCATTTAAAATCCAAATTTTCTCTCAGCTGTGCGATGCAATGGATTCCAATTGCAAAATTCTTTTATATCACACTGAAATTTGTTGCCTTTCAAAGATAAAAGTTTGAAATGACTCATATACCTGAAAGTAGAGGCAATTTTATTCTTGGTAGTCCAAAAAACATATTTTTAGTTTTCTCTTTTTGACAAGCTTTGGTGGCTTAAGGTTCAGTTTCTGTCGAACTTGTTTGAAAAGCTGAACTCTCTAAATTTAAATCTTCAAGGTCTATGTGAGGATATTGTCATATCAACATGAAAGAAAAATTAACCTAAAGAAATCTGAAATATCAAAAGGAAATTCTGCATTCTGCGTGACAGTGAATTTCAGTCAAAGAAAATAAATTGCAGACGAAATTCCAAAGCACTATTTGATGAATTTGTGTCAGATAGTAGTCCTTCCTTAAAAAAGCTGTTTTCTGTCCCTTTAAATTGACAAATATGAATGGTTAATCAACTTATTTGTGATTTATTAGACACCAAATTTGACAATAGCAGAAAAAGAACAGAGAATTTCATTCATTTGAGAAATGATAAGATTTACTGTTTAATAAATTTCGAGAAAAATTTAGATATGTTTTGGCTTCCTGTAAAAAATGTGTACCTTGCAGTCAGCTTGAAAGCTTTAAAATATTTCTGTGTTTTGATCTTCGTATTTTTGTGAATTTGGATTTTTAGCATTGGCAAAAATCAAGTCCAAAATGCGAGAAGACTGTTAAGTTGACAACGAAATGCAAACTTGTCTAGCGACTGTAGAAACTTCGTTTTGAATTAATTTGTTCAAGAAAATAGTCTGGGCCCTGTCAGCTTAAATAAATTTTGTAATTTTTAAAAAAATCATACAACACTATGCTAGAGAGTAGAAAGGTTAATAAAAGTTTCAGTTTTGTTTTAAAGCATTTTGATTATCTTTTTAGGTTGTGAACTTGACTATCACTTTTCTTTGGCATTATATCAAATACTTGCTGACAAAGGTGATGAAGAAGGATTAAAAGCTCTTACAATGCTAAAACTGAAAATTCAAAATTCAGGTAATTTCCTTTTCATTATATATATTTTTTCTTTCATTTACTAATATGATGTTGACTTTTATATATTTTTTATAGCTACAGCTGTATGTACAAAAAAGTCTTCAAACGGAGTAGAGAGGAATAACATGCACATTTCCACATCATCTCCAGAATTAACATCCAAGAAGTCATCAGATTGTAGTTTTTCATCAGTTCCTCTTTCTCCATACTTGAACATAATTCCTCCTTTTATCCATAGCAAAGTGACTACAGTTCATGAAATTACCAAAAAATTATTTTATATTGGAGATGATAAACCAAATGTAAATTTTCCCACCAGTTTGAGGCCAAACATTCAAAGCAACATGCACCTTACTGTGTCTACAGAAACATAACCATTGTTTTAAAAAATAATAGAAAAGTTTGTGATAATATCAGGTAGTATTCAATTCTATTTTTGTGATATTATTATGTTTTAATATTTTTTGCATTTTTTGTTAAAGTTCATACATCATATAAATTCTTAGAAAACTTGCAGTTGACTTAGACGATAATAGTCTCCCCTCCATTGCTTGTTTTGGAGAAGGGAAGGCAAGAAACAGCATTTGAGAAACTCATCATATCAAAAGGAAAAGAGATTTTATTTTAAAATGCAGTAGAAGTCTGTTTTCTTCTCATATTTTATTGTAGAGGTTGTATAATTGCTTAATTTTTTTATATTAGGAATTTAAATTTTGTTGTTGTACAAAAACCATAGTGAAAACCTTGTTCTTTTGTCACTGTGTTCCACTTTGTCCTAAAAATCCTTATATGGGATTTTTCTCATAACCATTGGTTGTCGACATATACTTCCAATTAATATTCATGTTTTGGCATTTTTAAAATTTAAAAAACCTGTTTTATAAATGTTGAGAAATTAATAATGATGTGTGATTTGCTGCTTGTAGCTAGTTATTTATATCTTAGATATCACCACTAAAATGCTACTTAATTATACTAAATTTTAATTCATTTCAGTTTTATAAAACAAAAGCTGGAGTGGCCCTTAAAACGGCTGTTTTTGTGAGTCATTCAGCCATGTATGTTATGAATATCGTGCAGCACTGACAAAAAATAGTTATCACTTTTATTAACAGATTTGTTCCATGCCTCTACAAGGTTATGTGGAAGAACTTGTGATATGGTACTCCAAATTTCAGTAGCTTCATAAAATTAAAAAATTCAGTAGTTTCCACATTTGAACATCTGATAAAATAGCAAGAAAAAGTAATGATTGAAATAACACCCAATGTTAGTGATGCCATCTGAAAAATAAATAACTAAAAGCGATGGATTACATAGTACATACATAGCAATAAATCTAATTTTTTAAATGGTCATTTGGTTTTTATAATTTTATTTATCAAAAGCTTATAATCAATCTTTAAAAAAGAAAAGAAAGACTCAGTTTGGATGAAAATTGATGAAGATGTTTAATTTTGAAACTTGAGATAATGTTTTCTGAAAATTAAAGGGTTGCACATAAAGTGAAGAGAAAAATATTTAAATTTAAAAATGAAATTTCAGTGTAGGAAAAAAGTTTCTGTTGCTAAAAGATTAAATGATGAGCATTGATATGTAGACTGTCATAAAATATTTTGATCAGCAGAGTTTTTTTTTTTTTTTTTCCAAAAAGAAGGTATTTGCAAAAGTCTCATATATTTTATAGTTTAAGAAAGACTGGCAGGCTTGTAGTATTGGCACATAGCCACTTTATAATATTATTTATATAAATAAAAAGTGAAAAACAGTTTTTAGTACAATATATTTTTATTTATTTATTTGTATAAGTATTAGATTAAGATTTTAAATTAACAAAAGTACATGAAAATGTTTGTAACATACTTTTAGCATTTGCAAGCTAAAAAATTATTTGTGTGGTTATGACTTTGGCATACCAAATGTCACATAATTATAAGTTAAAAGAATGCTAAACACTATTAAATTTGGAAGAACTATCACAGAATGGCGTCAAACAGAAAAACAGCCAACTTCAAGTTACCTTAATTTATTTTTTTAACTGTTACCTGAAGGAGAGTGTTAAGTGTGGGTTTTAGATACACAAAAATCTGTAAAAATTCCAAATTTCAAATTACTTGTGCAGTTTTTTTTAGCTATTTTGTGTTTTATTTTTTAGAATGAGTATAAACTTTTAAAAAATATAATTGTGTAAAAAGTTAGACGAACTGTAGAAAAGTTAGACAATAATTTTTACAAGATTCGTTTTTTAGATTTAAAAATGTCAAAACAGGAATATTTGTCGCTCTTAATTTTTGTTTAATTGGAAATATATGCCTATGTTTGTAGAAATTGATTAGTAAGGATTTTTATGGGCATGTACTTTAGTGTATGCATGTACATTGAAGAGCAAAAACATTTTGACCACCTAAACAATAACACATTGTGCGACCTTTGGCCTGCAAAACAGCTGCAGCTCACCTTGGCATGGATGCTGCAAGTTCTTGGTAGATGACTGGAGACAGGTTATACCAAATGTTTAAGCAGCGGTCATGCAAAGTCGAGATATTCCAACATGGTGGATTCTGATCTCTGAGGTGCGATGAACAAATTAGGTGACCAAGACATTACCGTATTTGACGGCATACAAGACGCACTTTTTTTCCTAAATTTGGTCTCAAAAAAGTTACCTTTGTCTTATACGTGAAGGTAATTGCATTCAATAATTGTTTATTTGGCTTTTACGAAACATGAGAACTGAAAGAAACCACGCTATTGAAACTTTTTTTCCTTGTGTATTGCCGTCTAAATAAGAATGTGTCTTATATGCCAGTGCGTCTCATATGCCGTCAAATACGGTAATTAGAATTCATCCTTATACTCCTGAAACCACTCCAACACAATTCAAGCCTTGTGACATGGGGCTTTGTCTTGCAGGAAGATTCCATTCCCAGTGGGAAGATAGACGGCAAGTAAGGGTTGCAACTGATCTGCAGTTAGGTTCATATAGTGCATAGCTTTCAAGGTCTGTTCTACCACAAGTAAGGGTCCCAGAGCTACCCATGAGAACGTCCCCCAAAGCATAATACCACCACCGCTAGCCTGTGTTGTACAGGGGGCGGAGCAACTGTTCACCTAGAAGATAGCGTACTCTGACATGACCATTGACGTGATGAATGAGAAATCATCATTCATCCAACTAGGCAACTGTCTTCCACTTATCCGTGGTCCAGTCTCAGTGTTCGCAGGCTCACTGTAGCCGTAGTTGACTATGATGCTTGGTCAACAGAGGCAGATGAGTGGAACGTCTGCTGTGAAATCCGATATCCAACAGTGTCCACTGAACTGTGTGTTCTGAAACACTTGCATTTGGACCTGCGTTGTATTGGCCTGCCATCTGAGCCATTGTCTGGTGCCAGTTTTGCTGTGCTAAGCGGGACAGTCTCCCAACATCCTTTTTCTTTGATGACATGTAGACATCCAATACCTTGATGTCTAATGCTGGTTTCACCATCATTTATTCATTTTGCATAAATACTTTCAACAGCAGATCCCGAATTTATCAGTTGTATAGTTTCAGAGTTACTCATTCCAAGTTTTCAGGCCATTGCAATCTGCCCTCTAAATTCGCTTAGACCAGCAACCTTTCCCATCATTCACAAAAGTGCTAGAATGATTCCTAAAGTTCTCTAGCAGTATTCTAATACCATTCCTACTTAACATGTTGACCGCCCAACACGAGATAACTTGTGGTAGCACTTTTCTTCATGATGCCCAATACGAGTTATCTCATAGTTTCTCAACTTGTCACTTTTGTGCAGCTACAAGTTACTTACTTACTTAGCACTTGTTTTAGCTGTACCGAGGCGACAAGTCGAAGCATGTCTGTATGAATCAACTCGTAGTAGGCTTCTGCGAAGAACTTTGTCTAACAAAAGCCAACTACAAGATAATTTGTAGGACCTTTTTTTCTAAAAAAAAAAAAAAAAAAAAAAAATATCCTGTAAACTTTTTAATGATTGTTACAAATCATAATTAGTATTTTTAATAATATAACATGATTAAATCAATTTGGCTTCTCGGACCGGAATCCGAAAATTGCTGTGGCAGTCATGTCATAATTTGTACTCCACATCATCGGGATGAGTTCATTGAAAAGTGTGAGGATGGTTATAATGTTTTGGCTCATCAGTGTATGTATATATATATATATATATATTTGTGATGATTTGAAAATGTTGAATTGTAATAGAAGAGTAAACTTGCATATGTGGCAGAATTTATTATTTGCTTTTTATTCTGATTAACCAAACAGTTTCATTCGTGAAAATAAATTGCATCAATAATTATGCCTGTTCGTGAAATTTTAATTTTTTAAGACGGCAGACGTTAGCAGATCTAACTAATGACAGAAGCAGAAAGTGAGTGTGGTATATCTAAGGTGAAATCTTTGCTCAGAATGAATTGGTTTTAGTTTCAATTTAATTTCTGTTGGTTAATTTTAAGGGTCTAAAATTATTGTTGACTGAAAATTTATGCAAGTTATTTGCATTAGAGCGTTATGTAAGAATCATATAATGACTATTAATTTTGAAGTGACACAGTTCAGACAAATTTATTATAAACAATTACTATTTTTAGAACAAAGTGGGGAAATGCCGAAGTTAAAATAGAGATTTAAAGGATTATTTTATATTAAAATTATTATTTTGAATTAAATATTTTTATCTGACTTATATTTTCTGATACACTCATTGAGGAATAAATTGGCACTGATTAAAATGAAATTGAAATGAGATAAAAATATTTTAGGCCAAGTTGATTTTATATTTGTTTATAAACATGGTTTCAATGTGCAAGCCTAAAATATTATTATCGTATTTTAACTATAAATACTCAAATTGTGTCTATCAAAGATATAATGTTACAATAGTTAACAAGAGTATATATTCTGTTAGCAGCATGCAGTTATTAGTATTTGTATAGGTATTTTGTGACAAAACAGAAACTTTTGTTTTCACTTTCTTAAATTCAATATCTTATATTTTGGTAAATTGAATTTCTACATAAGAATTTTTTCTCTCTTTTTAGAGATGGGCTGATTTAAATTATCTTCTGTTTTGCAGTATTTATGAGATTACAATTCATATTGTGATTTTTTGTCGTGTATGTTCTTCGTTTTTTAAATTCATGCTATATTCTCCATTTATATATTACACATCTTTTGCATTTTAACCTTCTGAACCTGTGAGGTGACTGTTAGTTGTCACTCAGTATAATACCATAGAGTGACTGGAAGTAGTCATCTCTTAAGTATAAGAGGTTAATTGATTTTTATCATTTCTTAAAAAGCACAAAACCGTAAGAAATTGATGTTTCCTATTGGAAAAACAATACTGCTGTATTTATGATACCATTTTTATAATGTATATGTGCTGCATGTATAAACTTGCTTTATCTTTGTACTTAAATCAAAGCATTTTCATGTCATTTTATAATAAATAGTTGGAACAAATGTTGTTACATGTATTTATATTATATACATAGACTTTCAAATTGAGAAATTTCCATTTTACAAATGCAGTTCCATGTTTTCAGGGATGTTCCAAGTTACGTAAATAATAACCTTAAAAAGAATGAAATAAATAACAATCCAATAAATAAAATTCTAAATTATGCTTTAAACATCAGGTGTAATAATTGTTCATGAAATAGTTTGAAAATGTATGTGTATGCACATATGTATACAACAATATTACAGTCAAAAGTCGTTAATTCGGATACCTATAATCCGGACCTCAAAGCTACAAACTTTCTGTGCATGCGTCGCAATGACGTAAGACCTTTACGGCTGCGAATATGCATGTGCGCGTGCACAAAATACGTTACGAATGCGCATTTAATGTATAACGGACGGTATAAGCTAAGCTAAAATTATCTAATTCAGTTAATGTTGCAGATTGCATTGTTCCTTAATCTTCGAATTGGATTCGGTTTATTATTTTTTGCAGACTGTTAGAGCAATTTTATAAAAGTAAGCTTGAACTTTCGATTATGTCAAATAGAATTTCTGATATATATTTACCAATATGTAAAGGATCTACAAAGCGAAAGTATGTTTCGAAGTCCATTAAACAAAAAGTGGAATTCCTGCAAAAAATGGATAAAGGCATATCCTTTGTTTATCTAAACTTTAACGTTTGTTTATCTAAACGTATCTTTAACGCAACGGCACGCACTGAATTGGAAGTTGATCTATCACTATCCTTATCTTCAGGGCAGATGTTTTTATTTTATTTGGCTTATAATTCCTTACTAAATGTAGTATTTCATCTCGATGTACTCCGTCTTTGATATGATTTAAATCAAATTCCTCATCATTATAATTCGCTTCCGATAGCGAAGAAAGTGACAGAGGTTATTGAAAACGAAAAAATTTCGATTGACAAATTAGTTGGTATTCTCGACACAGCAACTATAGGACCTGAACAGCGGAACTTTGTAACTGAACAAGAAATTATGTCTGTTTATAGAATTAAAGAGAATGTATTATCACATAAAAAATGAAGCAACTTAAACAACTTACATTGAAAAAAATGTTTAATAAAGTAAACAAATAAATATTAGGCTTTTTTTTAAAAAAAATTTTGATAGCATTTAGATCATAATTGTTCTTTATTTCATAAATTACGGTTTCATATTTTTAATTTTATAATTTCTGCATGCCATTTTACCAGATTTAAACTGATGATCTATAATCCGGAATTGCCGAAGTCCTCACTAGTCCGGATTAACGACTTTTGACTGTATTTGAAATTATTGAGGATTTTTTTACTGTACAATATTTTTCAGCAGTTTTGAATTGGGGTCACAGTCCACCCTGAAATATGCTTATTTCATTTAAGCATATTCACCCTAGTACTCTTTTTTTATTATCACAAGAAAAATGATCCATAATAATTTATTTTTGAAAATTGAAAATACTTAACATAGAAACTTTAATTGTGACGCATAGCATTTCATACACCTGATTTCAAAGAATATTGCTCATTATGTCTCTTTGTATTATTAGGCATAAGTTCTGAAAAATTAATAGAACCATGTTTCGTAAAGTATTTAAAAGTTTATGTACACTCAAATAACCTTTTAATTAAATTTCCCTACATATCAGCTCTTGTGTGTAATTAAAAAAAAAAATAAATTTTTTAAATTATTGTTAGTTACAAATATAGGAAATGCTTTTTCTGAAAAAAATATTTAGAGTTTAAAAACATTGTTAAATTTTAAGACAAACATGATTACTTTTGAGTAAATTGAGATTGCTATGGCTTTAATGCACATGAAAGCTATCTGCATACCAGGAAGCATATCTTTGTAGAATCCATGAGTGAAATTAGCTTGTATCACATTATGTATGAAGTAAATTTCATAAAAGTCATCCTGTTTATCTATGTATAATAAAATCCAAGACAAACTACCAGTATTTTTTGGTTTTATTTATTCAACCAATGCTTGGCTTTTATTACATTTGTTACTTCCAATTAAAAAATTTCTCAAAATAAGGTAAAGGATTTACCTTATTTTTAAAACAGCTTTTAAATGCAAAATTTATAGAAATCTTCAAGAATGAATTTATTAACATTACTTTTCAATGTTTATTTTTGATCCATGCTTGTTGTTAGTCCATGCATATATGCATATGAAGGCTACTGGGCCTTAAGAAGGATACCATTGTGTCTGAAGATGGCTCATGTTCATATTTTACAGTGATGCAACCAGCCTGTACACCAGGACTAAATATGGGATGAATTACTAATATTCAGGAAGTCTTGGCCACTAGTGAACTTTTAATATCTATTTGCTAAGTGATTTTGATCCAATTAAATGCTGAAAATCGTTTCTTCCCCACTAGTAGGCACTAAACAAAGGATATTTATCTTTCTAACAGCATTTAAATAACCATAATCAACATAAAACTGTGCAGAGTAGATTAAAATTACAAGTGATGCCTAGCCTTCTACAAAAGGCTCAGTAATGTTTCTATCTTGAATTTCCTTCTGAAGACTGCAATTTTTTTTGTTTTAGGGTAAGGAAAAAAAACTGACCTAAAGGTATGCAATTCTTATTGTTTATTTATTTTAAATATTAACTTGCAGAAGATTGGCGAAGAATTTGCCCTTTTTTATATTAAGCTGCTACTTTTTGCATGCATAAGCAACTGGACAGACATTTTAAAACTCTTCTTGGTTTTAAAGGCTCTTGCAGCTCTTCTTTCTTTGTGAGTGAATGACATTATTGAAAAGTTTTAGATCACTTTCTTAGGTAATGAGAAGGGGAAAATAAAATTGTTTGCAGTCTCACCTGAATGAGATGATTGGCAAAGTGCTTAGTGATATTTGAAAAATCGAATGTTGTAAAAAAAAAATCTTGAATCTATTTTAACAACATGAATATGGAACTCAAAGATTTTTGCCAACCAATAAAAGAATTTTAAAAAAATTTTTATTATTCACAAGCCACTGATCTGTACATCACCCTCAGTTCCCACATTTGTATTTACCTTCAATACAGAGTTCATGTATTCTGTCAGCTTTTATATTTTAAAAACTTAAGTAAAATAAATATTTTTCAGTCTACAATCGGCCAATCTGAAAGAAGCTTTATAATGTAACTCACAAAGTTTAGTACAATTACTAATTTTTGGTGTTGTAAATGATACAATGTATATGAGAAAATTCTTAGGGATATATTTATGTACCTTACAACCATCTGTGACTACAACAAAAAACAACCGAATGTTTACAAAGAATAGTTATTTTTTCAACATGGTATGATAGAGTCTCATGCCCTAAGTATGCCAAGTACTTTACAGGAGGGGGAGCTAAGTCATGAAGAATTACTACATGAGTTTTCAGGCTCCTTGTTACTCAGTTTGTTAAATCAAATCTGAATATAAGTGAGAGAGTATTTGTTATAATTTTAAATAATTTAGGCAATTGATGCTAATTTGTGTGAGAAAAATACGAGTGCAAAAATATTTAATAAATTTAATGCATGCTGATACATTTGTTTGAAGCTAACAGTAAGTAAAGCTAAATGTAACAAAAAATTAGATTAATAATAATAATTTCCTGTAGTAAGTTTAAGTACATAAATTACTGATGTTGTTTTATTATAGAGAAAATGATCTGATTTTAGCAAACTTTAATATATGTTAAAACAATAAAAGTTATGAAATTTAAAGCTAACCGGATTAAAGCATTTTAATCCACAAGATGATAAACTTGTATTGGCTCAAGAAAACTTCCAAGAGATGTTAGAGAGACGATGTGTTGTCCAATTCATACACTAATTGATATAGTTTTAAATGACTTGTACCTAATCCAAACCTTTATAAAGTAGTCACATCTCAATAGAGAATGATTCTTTTGTACATAAGTAATGAAAAAAAGTTTAATACCATAGAACCTTTTAATTTTCAGAATAAAATTTGGTAAATCATGTTTTTTATACAAATTATTTGAAGATGCTGACAGTCATTACATAATATCAAATGAAAGTTATATTTTAATAAAAAAGAAATCTTTAATGGAATGGAAATAAAATATGAAAGAATTTAAATAATTTGTAAAATTATGATTTTAGCTCATATATGGGAAAACTAAATTTAATAATGATCTCTCAACTGATATTTAAATTTTACTATTTCTAATACAAGGGGTGATCAAATGAAAAGGTATGAAACGAGGTAAAAACGTAACAGTTAAATATTTGCATATTCCGCCATGGGAGAACCTAGCGAGACATCTTGGGATGCGATTGGAGTCTCTGACTGGGATCGGAGCATGCACGGGCACCCGCATGCACAGGAGAGAGCAGAGGGTCTTATCAAAAGTGGCGTCCAAACGATGCGGCAGTCCGTACGAGGACAAGATGGCGTTCGCATTGCAGAATTCGGCGACTGAGAAGCAGCGAGGCATTATTCGATTTCTGACAGCGGAAGGTGAGAAACCAACAGTTTACAGAGAGAAATGTGTCTCTGACAAGTCTGTCAGAAAATGGAGTGCCTGTTTTCATGCAGGCCGTGAGAGTGTGGGTGATGATCCGAGACCAGGCCAGGAAAACACTGTCATCACGAGCGATTTCATCGACAAGGTGGATGACCTAGTGAGAAGTGTCACATTGCGAATGTTGGTGGTGAAGGTGGATGTCAGCTATGGAACCATGTGGAAAATTGTTGACGACAGATTGCGATATCGGAAGGCGTGTGCTGCTTGGGTTCCGAAGCAGCTCACCGACCAGCAAAAGAAACTGCGTATGGGGACCACTTCAACATCTGTTTTGGTATCAGGAAGACCCCACTTTCATGCAGCAGATTGTCACAGGCGATGAGACCTGGTGCCATCACTATGAGCCAGAGACAAAGCGGGACAGCATGTAGTGGAAGCATGAGTCGTCACCTCAAGGTGTTGCTCACCGTCTTTTTCGACGTTCAAGGTCCGCTACTTGTGGAATTGCTCGAGCACAAAAAAACCATTAACTCCGATGTGTACTGTGAGACACTTAGAAGCCTACGCAGGTCCATTAAGAACAAAAGACCGGGGCTGCTCACAGAGGGTGTGGTTTTGCTCCATGATAACGCATGTCTACACGTCTCCAGAGTCACACACATGGAACTGGCCAAGTTCAAGTGGGAGAATTGGACCATCCGCCCTACAGTCCGGACATGTCACCCTGCGATTTCCACGTGTTTGGTCCACTGAAGAAACACCTGAAAGGGAAGCGCTTCAACTCGGACGACGTACTCAAGGACGCTGTGAAGGATTGGGTCTCGTCACGGCCACAGGAATTCTGGGAACAAGAAATCCTGTGGCTTGGTCATCATTGGGATTATTGTGCTCAGGCCTATGGTGTATATTTTGAATAAAGTCTACATTTGTACCCACCGTGTCGTTTCGTACCTTTTCATTTGATCACCCCTTGTACAATGTTTGCATGCAAATAAAAACATTCAGTCACATTTAAATATTTTTATTTTACACAAAATATTTTATATACAATGAAAGTCTGACATATCTAAAATAAGTACGAACATAGTATATAAACATCTCCTAAACAAGAAAGTAGTATGCAGGAAAATTCCTCCTGTAATATAAAATCAAATTTAATTGCAATCATTTGAAATTAAACATATAGTAGAACACTGATAATCCACATTGCAGTTAAAATAAACAAAGTAAAAAATCTCTATGTTTAAGAAGCCGTAGAATCAAATTTTAAACAGAGGAAAGTAAGTTGAGTGTGAAACTGAATGATGTGGATATTTGAACTGAAATGGAAGGCTGGAACTCTAATTCATGATGAAAATAAAGTATTAATTATTTATGTGCTCAAAATCACCCTGGACATAAAATGTTACATAATAATAATAATGATGATGATATTACATCATCTTTTCACGAGGAATGTGAAATCAAGGAAATTCAAGTAAAAATTCATAAGATAATGATCTAAGTCCATAAAATACTAAAGCATTTAAATGATAAGAAAAAGATATGAAATTATACAACAAAAGGAATACTTTGATACAGTTCAGCTTCGGTATTTAAAAAGAATTTATTATAAAAACTAATATAAAAAGATTATTGGTAATTATCAACACATCCACTAAAAACTTCAAAAAAGCATTCATGAGGAAATGCAGTATGAGATTAAAGTAGTTATATGACAACCAAGGATGTTTTTAAAAATTATTTATGTAGCAACCCAGGTATGCACATGCACAAGTGCAGTGTTAAGTTTAAACAGTTTTTTGATATATATATATGAGGCACGTCCAGAAAGTAAGTTCCGTTTCAATTTATCTCTGCTGCAGCTCTGCGATCACAGTTACGCACATGCGCAGTAGACGCTCTGTATCAAGGAGAAGAAACGCGTGCCATTTGGAGATCGCTGTCAGTCACGTACGCTTTGTTGTGCTTGTTTACAATGTCGGTATTGATTGAAAATCCCGCCGCTTGTGAAATCAGATCTGTGATTCGTTTTCTGAATGCGAGGAAAGTGAAACCTAGTGAAATTTATCGGCAAATTTGCGATGTTTACGGACCAAAAGCGATGAGTGATTCAATGGTGAGAAGATGGGTCCGAAAGTTCAATGACGGACGTAGTGATGTGCACGATGAAGAACGAAGTGGGCGTCCATCTTTGGTTACAGAAGAACTGGTTCACGCAAATTGATGACAAGATCCATGAAAACCGAAGGTTTACAATTAGTGCTCTCGCTTTGGAATTTCCCCAAATTTCACGATCACTAATGCATGAAATTGTTACCGAAAAACTGAAATTTCGTAAACTTTGCTCACGTTGGGTACCAAAGATTCTTACTGAGCAACACAAAACAAATCGGATGGGTTCGGTTTTTGACCCGTTATGCTGAAAGCGGCGAAGAATTTCTGACACAGATAGTCACAGGAGATTAAACTTGGGTTTCTTATGACACCCCTGAAAGTAAGCGGCAATCAATGGAATGGAGGCACACTTCATTCCCAGCAAAGGTTAAGCCGAAGCAAATCTTGACACCTCGAAAAATGATGTGCACAGTGTTCTGGGACTGGAAAGGCATCTTACTCATTGATTTCTTACCGTGTGGTCAAACAATCAGAGCAGATGCTTATTGCGAGACATTTCGGAAATTGCGCCGCACAATATAGAATAAGCGCCTAGGATTGCTGTCAAAAGGTGTTGTTTTTCTTCACGACAACGCACAACCACACACTGCAAATGTGACGAAAATCCTCCTACAGTGATTTGGCTGGGACGTGTTTGACCATCCTCCGTGCAGCCCTGACCTCGCTCCTAGCGACTTTCATCTGTTCTCTTACATCTTAAGTCTTTCCTTGGCGGTCAACACTTAAACAATGACGACGAGCTGAAAGAAACTGTTTCCAACTGGTTGAAGACACAGGCGGCAAATTTCTATGAAGAAGGTATACAAAAACTTGTGCCACGCTATGACAAATGCCTGCAATATTTCGGCAGTTATGTGGAAAAGTAGTTTAAGAGTTGTTGAATTTTGTGCAATAAATGACTTTTCTGTAGCTGTACACAATTTACTTTTATTACCAAACGGAACTTACTTTCTGGACGTACATTGTATGTAAGATATCGAAATTTGAAGAAACTTAACTTGATTGGAATGGTCCTTTATATTCTTAATTTTAATTTCATACATCCCCTCTTCAAGGCTCCATATTGCACCATTATACATCATGCTTTTCTACAATAACCATAATGTGAAATCTTTTGCCCAGTCACTGCTCAGAATTAAAACATAGACTTTCTGAGCTTATAAATATTCCTGCAGTTATCACTCTTCTGCTGCTTGCTCTGCCTAGAAAGTCATGTGTCGCCGCTAAGCTTCTTTTTCTATTATCTAATATGTAAACTGTGTATATAGAATTTGTAGTGTGTGTTTAACACCCCTAATATTGTACCAATTAAGCAGAAATGTATTTTCTGAAGAACTGTTCCTGTTCAAAATAAAAAGCGCATTTTAATCGTCATACTCATTGTGGTTTTCTTTCCAGTCATATTTACGCAGCAGTTTTTCTTGGTCACAATTCAAATAGTGATTGGTTTCATCTTCTCTTGTCACCTCTGTACTAAGTTCTGCCAAAGTACCTCGACAGCAAACCTTTATAAAATATCACATATATGTAGTATTTTTAAGATGCGTGGGAGAGAAGACACTAACTATTTTTAAATTATGGTTGAAATTATTATAGATATTGCTGGCATATAGATAGAATGCACAGCAGAAGAATGGACAAATGTAGTTATAGATTCACCATATAATTTTATTTCTTGATGAAACATTTTTAGAACACTTATTCTCGTTTACACATCACTATTGATACAACAATCACCCCACAATTCTATATACAGCGTCTCACATTATTAGACAATGAAATGGAGAAGCAAAGCACATTAGCACAGAGACAGGAAGGCAGAAAAAGGTCAGTGTGCATTTTAGCAAAAAGTATTTAGAGAGTTGATTTCTTTGTTCAAATTTTGAATAGTGATTGGACAAGACCTAACGGCATTGCAGGATTAATAAAGTGACATAATGCGGATTAGTTTTCAGTGACACAGTTTAGATTCATAGTTTTAAGACAGGAAAGTTATGTAGACAAATGAAAAGGACTACTGTTAAATTAAAGTTAATAGTTTTCTTCCATATTTTATATCATATATATACACAAGTGAAAACAGGTCATTGTGCATATGAGAAAATAGCACAAAATAAAACAAAATTTCTTGAGAAAGGTATTTTATTAATGATGGTAATTTGTTAGAAAACATGAACATATCTTGAAATTAACAAAACGTTCTCTGCATTTTAAAGAATCTTAGTATCAGTGGAAATCTAGTCTCTGCCTATGGCAGTTTTTGAAGGATTCAATGAAATAATTGCAGATATTATGGATAGTTTCATAAAAAAAAATTTTTTTAATTAAAAAAATGTTTCTAAGCCATTTAACATACTCAAGGAGGGAAAAAAATGACTAAATAATGAAACTGTTCTTAATTATTTATAATGCAACAGTTATTTTTATTAAAATGAAAGGAAACTGGCATTGAAGAATTATTCAAATAATCAATCATTTATTAGCTTGTATCTTAATCTTCTCCAGGGCAAACTCATGACCCTCAAAGCCAGTAAAGAAAACAAAACATGCACCACTAATCAACCAATAAATTGGTTTGATTTCTCCTTTATAGAAATCTTAGTGCACCCTCATTTTGAAAAAATGGCTCTGGTCTTTGGTGCATTAGCTTAGTGAACAATTCTGAATCTCTCCAGGTAGTATCCTGTTGCTGAAAGAATCTTATTTCTCTGGAAAGTCAGCAAACTAATTTGTGACTTTTTGTGGGGGGGGGGTGGAGAAAATTAGAGAACAGTCAATAATTTCATTGAAATTAATACAATCCAAAGTTTCTTTGTTCAATTATAATTACAAAATATAATTAATTATGCTCCGAGTTTGATGTATTATAAATGGAAGGCAGCAAATATCATGATCTTTAGTGATTCCTAAAACGATACAGTGTTAATATGCAGTAAATGCTACACTGTACATTAATTTATCTGAACTGGGTCATGAATGATTTCAATAACTGGCATTCTACCATATTAAAAGACTTATATACACTATGGAAAAATTGCAATCTGAAAACTTCAGATTATAGTCTAACACTCTGAAGAGTTTTAATTATTAATGTTTCAGAGAAGAGTTAATTATTAATTTTTATAAAAGTATATTTACGGTACCCCTTGGCAAAAATTGTGAACTTTTAAATGCAGCATCAGACTGTTAAAATATAATTTTAAGAATTAAAAATGTACCAGAAAATATTTCGACTAAAATCACTAAAGAAGGCAAATCATCAGAAAATATTTCAGCTACAGTCATAAACTGTGATGAAAGGTCAGACAATCTTTAAAACGCTTTTAGAGATGTAAAAAATGAAAGATATCCATCTGATTCTGGTCATTATCCAGAAATTCTTACAAAGGATAAGAAAGGGTTTATTTTAAATTTTGGCCTTTGTAGACAAAAAGATACCGATTCTCTCCCAAAATGAAGACAGCAGATCATTGTTTTCTGTTCATTATACAATGATTAATAACTCTGGTTTAGAGACAGATTTACTTTGTTATTCATTTAACAAAGAAAATATGCAAACCATTTTGGTTAATATCAAATAAGGACAGATATAATTGACAGGAATACAGCACTGGCAAAAATTACCCATAAGAAAAAAAGGTGTGAAAGAAGTTCTCATCATATTGCAAGCTGTATTGAAAAAAATTGGGAAGCAAATAACCATATTGATCAAATTTTGGAAAAAATCTGTAAAAGATGAAATCAATTTCAATTAGTTTTAGAGAGATTAAATCCAGATAACTTTAGCCAAAAATAACAATGATTTTCGCGGATACACAGAATGTACCTCAGATACATACATAGCTAATTTTTTTTATCTGATGTCAAATTATTGGTAGAATATGACATTGTGATGAATAGCATTATAAAAATTCTCTCAAGCACCGTTAAATATTTGAATCTTGCAACATAAAATGAGTTTATTGATTGTTTATGTAGTAGTTGTTTTAAAACAAAGCTTTTGGCTGAAGTTCCTTTTTTTTATTTCTTTATACAAAGTAAAGAAAGTATCATAATCCCAAAAAACTTTGGTTATTATATTTCAATGGAAATATCTATTTTGACCATTCCCAAATCCATCTGGGGCCCACCAGCGGCCAAGCGGTAAAGTCGCTGAACACTGGTAGTTCAGTCCGAGGTTCGAATCTCCCAAAAGGCCTGGCTGCACGGGCCTTCAAAGTTTTCCCCGTGTGTGACGTGTATACGAGCTAGTTCCCTTAGGAAGACTTCCACGAAGCCATCTCTTTCCCTAGGAAAATAGCCCTAGAGGCTTTGCCATAAATCGCATAAATCGAATCCATTTGGGCTTCCTTTTTTCGCATGATGTCTGAACTTAGAGACAGAATAAAGAACTCATTTTTCCAAAAAGGATTACAAAATGGATTCAGAAGGGATTTTTCTTGACATTTGTATGCTTACATATGTATATATATATATGCATCGTATAACTCGAAAACGATTAGCCATTGGGCGTTGAAATTTTGTACATGGGAATGCTATAATATCCCTTTGTGCACCTTTGGTTTTTATTGCAATTGGCAGCGTACATTTACATATTCGGGCCGCTGACCTGGCCCTTATTTTCAAAATTGTTGGTCGTAGCCATATCTTCCCATTACAGAAGCATTTTAAATGACGAAAAATGTTTTGGCTATATCAAATTTAAAAAAACATATTTTTCGACAAATAATGAAATTTAACTTTTCATTTGGTCTCCCGTTTCTTATATTTGGGAAAATTTTATACTCATTATGAAAAAATAAATTACAAGAAATTTGACTCCTGTATGACAAAAAATGACCAGGATATATAACTTTCTAGTTCTTTAACTTGTCAAGTTCTGTGTTCTGTTCCTAATTTCTAGTAAAAACAAAGACATAAAATTCACAAATTAATACCAAGATTGATCAGAAATAGTAAATGCTATATAAACATTATATAACTTATGCTTTTAATAAATAAATGCTGTTTAGCTTAAATTAAATCAAAATAAACCTCGAAAAAGTCGCAAATATAGTAACCTGTTCTAGACTATTGTATTGTATAGCGTCCGACAAACGTGTAAATTTTCCTGCATCAATGGAGGGGGCAAATGATCACCCTAATGACTTTTTTTATTAGGGAACAGTTAAGGAGGCAGGAAAAAGTGTTTTGGATCTTGCCGTCCTACAGCTTATATTATGAGAATTTAAGCCAGATTTTAGAAGGTTAATTCAAAATTTGCAATTTTTGATGTCATTTTCAACTTGCCTTTAGGAATTGGTTAATTAAGTTCAAATCATTTGAGAAAATAAGTTTAAATGAAGTGCATCAAAAATGCGTATAATTTAATAGGCGGTACAAGAAACTCATGAGTGTCCATATCAGATTTTTAACTATTAATCCTGATCTGATAAAACTCATTATCAAAATGTTGGCTCCTAGAAACCTGGAATTAGTGTGTGTGTGAGGAGGTTATACTGTAAATTCATTGGGGGGGGGGCAAGAATTTTTTTGGCATAGAAGCCCTAGAGTTCTAGTTAAGCCACTGCCAAGGGATACCCTAAAATATAGACTAACCATTCTTTTATTTTGTTTAAAATTTCTGTGAATGGATCTTGCTGTTATGTTTAATTTCACACTGCAGAAGGTATTTCATTGAGTGATCAGTTTCCTTATAAGACCACTTTTTTGTAATTTTATTTCCAGAGACCACCTGTTCAATTCTGTTGACTGGGATATGTGCACCACTTGCTGGATTAATGAAATCTGTGAAATGATTAACAGTCTGTTGTACATAATACTAATGCCTGCATAAGAAGGAATATATCTGCCATTCATTAGTCATAATAGTTGTTCTCTTTGCCACATGCTTCTTAATCAGTTGCATCAAATTTCCCCTGTCGTTTGCTATGAATATAGTTTCATGACACAATAATCCTTCTGAAATGCACCACAGCAGATTTGAAACCATCTCCAATAATTTCTATAATTAAACAAACACAATTCCTTCTATTAACTGTTAAAATATTCAGAAAAGATAGCATGGAAATCAGACAAAATAATGGTAAATTAGTCAAGAATAAACTACATGTGTAAGGGTAAATAATGCTACAACATGCTAAATTATGAACAGCAATGTAAGGAACCAAAAACAACATACGAAGAATGGTTAGTACCTCTGAACATGCGAATCCACTGGGTTACCAAGTTTGAACTATTATTCCCATTATTGGCAGTGTTTGCATCTACCAGGTTCTTTACAGAAGTGCTTCCAAAGTTTGATATTAAAATTCATGGTAGCAAAAAAGCATGATATTTAACAAATGTATGCTCAAAGAGCCTAAGATGAGGATGCATACCAATTAAATTGAACCAGCTTGGTTAGCAGTGAAGCGCACATGCCCTCTGAAATAATACCAATTATGTAGATGGGGAATTCAACTCCTATTTGGGGAAATACACATGAAGAAGATTCCACAATCATTCCATCAAAGATGAAGCTTTCAGGGCATTCTTGTCAGATTATCAAGCTTTATCCACTGATGGAAAAACATTCGATTAATCTTTGGATTATGGTAACTTGGCGATTTTTTGGCGACCAACTCTGCTACAGCAACCCTCTATTTTTTTTCGCCGCCATTTTGTCTTCACGAAGTAAAGACATGTTTCTTTTCTTTTTATTTACTGAACACTTTTTCCAACAATCTGCTATCCGAATTACACTTATGTTAGAAATTTATGGAACAAAACTGCTTAATCATGACAAATATTAACTGCAAAATTGGGAAAAAGTGCAGAATCGCAAACTCCTTGCCGCGTTTTTCAGAATCGCACATGCACATAAACCATGTACACGTCGACTTATTTTTACTTGAAAAAACATCCCAGAATTGTACAAAAACGGCATTGCACACACTCTTTATCCATCTACACTGCTATTTTCTCATAAATTACAAAAATTTGCACAAAAATGCAGGAAAATTTTGTGAATCTTTAAACTCGGTAAAAAGCACATATATGAAATTACCTGATCGCGAAAAAGCATATACCCTTTCCAAGGATGAACATTTGCACGTATAAAATAAATAAATATCCCAAAAACTTTTACCTCTAAATTATCTATTATAAACAATCTATATATTATATCTATATAACAATTTTCCAATAATACCATATTACTTTATTTACTCCTTACATTTAGAACAATGCATAAAAATAATATCCTCAAATAATTAAAAATACTAACTTACCTAATCTTCTTCAGAATCTTGATTACAGGGCGGATAAACTTTTATTATTTCCTCCGCTAAATAAAAAGCAATCGTATGTGTGCCTGTTTCAGGATCTTTAAAATCATACTTATGGTTCACAGTAAGATGTTGAAAACCTTCATCCTCCAAACAGACATATGACTTCCAGCAATCAGATATTATTGTACCAGGTAGAATATACTGCTTAATAAAACTTAATAAGCAATCTTTACTTCTATCTCGCAAAACCTTAAAAAAACACTTATTACTACCCCTTTCAATCCCACTAAATACCCATTTCGAATTTATTTTAGATAGGGCCTTGGGATTCAAAAATTAACCAACACTGTTTCACACAACACAGAATGAAGCTAAATACAAAATTTTCAGATTTTCCCCTTTTTCCGATTAAAGAACTGTAATTCGTCCATTAATGTCACATGTCACATGACATATCTCATGATCTCTCATTTCCCTCCCACAAAATAATGCGTAATCGGAACTGAGTACTTCTAACATTATTCCCAAAGTCCTAGGTAGTAACCTTTATCGCCTACCAAAATGTCCCCAAACTACCTGTTACTATATTCCAAAGATTTATCAGAAAATTGAGATAAGTGAGAAATTTCTTATTTTCTGTACCGTAGCATATAAATTTTGAGATTGTTTCCTCAACGTGTTCCTTGAACACTGTAAATCTTCAAGAGAAACTGCATAGAAATGTGTCAAATCGGTGATTTTCAAAATTGCAATGACCCCAAAGTGCATTTTCCCTCAGCATTAAAAAAAAAAAAAAAAAAAAAAAAAAAAAAAAAAAAAAAAAAATCAATTACTCCAATTTAAAGCAGTATAAAATGTTTTTAGAAGCATTTACATACCTGAATTCCTGCTCTTGTTGCCTGTCGCATAACAGTTCACTTCCTTCTATCAAAAGGATCAGTCCAAACTTTCATACCTATGAACATACGCATACACAAAAAAAGAAATATTATTCCAAATAAAAAATAAATAAAAAAGAAAATTCACTAAATTCGAAATGTTACCTCCCGGCTGTATTGCTTCTTGATCAATACCAGCACGGTTTATTTTCTGTACTTCTTCTGCAAAATGAATATAAATTTGTACAAATCTGTTGTTAAAAAAATAGGAAATAGTAAAAAAAAAAAAGTATCACTGCATTTCAATGGAACAGCTGAACTGCACTGATTACAGAAGTAACTGCGGTAAAAACTTAGTACACGATCCTACTTACTGTATTCATCAACATGAAAATAAGGGTATATAACAATTGGATACAAAGCAGCTCCAATAAACCCAACTATTCCTCCATAAAAGGCAAATGCTCGAACTCCTTTTAATCTTATCGAGCCCATAATATACTCCGTGTTTCTACTTGTATTACTAACTTCTCGCATTAATCCAAGCAGTTATTTTGAATAACAACAATAAACAGACAGACAGATGTCTTGTTTTGCACCCGCTACATCTTTCTGCACCAATGGGCAAAAATATTGCAGTTAATTCGCGGTTGTAGTTGAACTGTATATTGTAATATGTGTACGTAATGGTTTTAGCTCATAGAACCTTGGAAAAGTTATAACATTCTAAACATTAAATAAATTACACAGTAAGTTACTGTTAACAAATTCTATAAAATATTGCATAACATGCGGGAAACAAATAATTTCTAAGTGATGGTTAAAATTTTGAAAGTACTATATAAATTAAAAAATATTAATTCATTAAATTATAAGTTTATTTGATTCTCATGACACTGCATTAAAATTCGTTTGTCAATTTTGTCCGAATTTTTTTTTTTTTTTTAAATTTATCGATGTATTTATCTCAGTAGTCTTAAAAGAATTATATGAAACGAAATACAAATATATAAGAGGTGAGATGAAAAATATGAGAGAAAATAATATTTGTTGCTTAAGTGAGGAAAACATTTGTTGTGTTGATCTACTGCTAGAATAGGAGAAACTCTTACTTTCGTGATTGCATTTTGTTTTTTGTAACAACGACGTATTGGGCTATCAAATGATAATTTAAATTACGGTTTCGTTGATTCTGTTAAGTATTAGAGTACACAGATTCGATAACTGGTAAGTTCTAAATTTTTATTTAAAAGTCTTGATATATTTCTCAGTTACTGATATCTATTTATTGCGCCGATTTTCTCTTTATATTAAGAGAATTATAATCTGTTATACTGTTGGCTCATGTGAAAGTTAATTGCATTGCTCCTTTTACAAGTTTATTCGTTGTTAAGACAGTTTCACATCAGCATGGAGACTAATTCATATATCGAAAAAATTAAATGAGTGTCAAAATACTTTTTACGCTTTACCAAATAGTATTGTAAACATTTCACCATCGATATATTCGGGTATCAGTAGTACATTCAGTTATTATGTGCGTCAAAGAAAATGCCATGAAAGTATCATGTGTAGACGTAATTTCATTTTCTTTCTTTCTTTCCCCCTTTTGGGTTTTCATCCGCAGAGAACCCGTTGGCGCCGTTGCATTCTTACTCGCCAAGGATGAGCCGAGCCGTAAACGTGATTTTTAGTGCATGTAAATTCAAGGTAGCACCTAAAACAATATATTAAGCATATGGCAGTAAAAATTCACAGATAATATGCATGTAGATGTAAAACTAAACGGTTAAACGTGATATACGAAAATAAATTTGTATTAAATGCAAGTTAGCACAGAAAAGAATATATTATTAAGCATAAGACAATATATAAGCATTTATAACGGAAATAAAAATTCATTTAAAAAATATAAATTAGTATTAATATACTGAAATTAACCAGTTAAACGTGATATACGAAAAAAATTTGTCTTAAATTCCAGTTAACACAGAAAACAATATATTTCTTACACCAGCAGTGGTTTGCTAATTTTGATGACCATGGTGATGCATCAAACTATTCTGTCATCTTAGATAATCAATATTTTTTATTTCAATTTAATCGTCTATTTATGCCACACCTGCCATCCTCTGAAAGGTTATTGTTAGAAAAGCATTAACAATATATTATTAGAATTTTATGCCATAAAAATTGATTTATTCTCATAATTTTAGATGACAATAACCAATAATAAAAATAAAAGCATTACTTAATTATTTAAAATGCACATGCACATTTTTGCGGTCTACGAAAACAAATTATTTTAGACGTTGGAAACCTCATGGTTCTTAGAGCTGTTAACCCACCGGGCGGCTCGCATTCAAATCGATTTACGTCTCGAAAACTGCAGTAAAAATTAACCATGTTTACAATTTTTTTTTTCATTTAGAGTGAACCAAAATTGTCCTGAAAACGGCCTTTGTTAGATTTTCTTCCCCCCTCCTTGTAGGGCGATCAACAAGTCGTTTCACTTAAGTGATGGTTTCCTACTGTCCTTTGATTACCGCCTAGAGGCGATTAAGCAGATGGGCTGCTTTTGCCCTTACGGAGGAAGGAACACGTTTTGTGTCCATGCTTTGGTTAGACGAAAAAAGATATTTTTTTCTGGAAATCCAAAACAGAAAAAGAAGTTTTGTATTGCCTTGTTACTAATTTTGTGCATATTTCTAATCTTAATTGCTTATCAGAGCCGTGCCAAGATATTTTTTCACCTGAGGCAGAAAGGTCAATGCGCGTCCATAAATATAAAAATAGCTACACTTGTATCAAGCAAAAGTAATTGTATTAAATCAAAATGTCATAACTCTTATAGCATAATTATACCATAATTCTTAAAGTATTTTTTAATCGTAGTTTTATAAATTCAGAGAAATAATGTAGCCAATTATTTATAATTTTCAAATGAAAACGTTAAAAAATTCGTTTTTGATAAATAAGAAATAACACTGAAATGCATATTGCATTAATTTCCAGGTTTTCTTGCAATTTTTTTGGTTTGTTTTATTGATTTAAGTTTGACGAAGCCTATTTCCCTAATAATTAAAGTAATTTTCGAATTCCGTATAGCCAATTTGGCGCCTCTTCTAGTGATTCACATGAGCCCGGCTTTGTTGCTTTTTAAGTATAAATGTTATTGATTTTTATTGCGTTTCGGTATTTTAATGTACGTTTATAGAATGTTAATTTGTTTTTATATGCATATTTCAGTAATATAATCTTACGACTAGTGAGACAGTGTAGTTTAACTAATTTTTTCTGCTTTTGATTTCATGTGTTATCGAGCTTTAACGCTAAGAAAAAATTTATAAGAGGCTTAAAATACCTAATTCCTATTGAAAGCTACATGTAATTGATAATTAAATTACTATTAAAATAACAAACACATGCTCAGTGTCAGTCATTTCGACATAATGTTTGTAATTCATTTTACCACAAATTTATTTCGTTTATCTTGTTTCATATTTATAAAAGGGGAGTTTACCTTTATCGCATTTATTGGTTGATAGAAGTTATGAAATATTGAATATTTTGAAACAAATTTCAGTCATAATAACCTTATTAAAAATTTTCTACATATAGACAAGATGTCACAGATACCTCTCAGTTTCCGAACTAAATTACATGGTACTGAAATTCGGTGCATTTTCATATGATTATTTTTTGACAGAAAGAGTTACCTTACGTAAATCACAAAAGAACATTGTTTTTAATTCTTAATTAAATATAGCACTTGTATTAAATTGCTAAAATTCATTGTTAGGAAAATCTCGCTCTAAAAAATTAGACACTTTTACCTTTCAAAGTGGAATTTTTGTGGTTTTCTCTGTGCATAATGTGGGCGCGAGTAAGTTTTTCTTAGAATGTCCTCCACGGAGGCATTCCTCCCTTTAGGCAGATAGCTCTCGCGTGCTTTGAAGGAAAAATAAAGCAAACCAAAACAAAAGCTTCAAAATTGGTGTTTAACATTTTTTTTGGGTTCAAATACGCAAATTACTTAGAGATCTCAATTCACATTATCAAATGTTATTATTTAAATAAATAAAAGCAAGCTGAGGATTTCCATTTAAATTGTTTGTTTTAAAATAAAAAATAAGAACAGTAAGTTTTGAATAAATCTTGTCAACATCAAGCAGGGACAGGAACATGCCAATGTAAAATTTAATATTAGGCCAAAAAGAAACGCTTTGACGTAGATTTTGGATAAAACTTAATCAAATTCGCAGGTAGTCAGAGACAGGCCTTTCTTCAGTAGAGAGAAAAAAATGTTTCTGAAGTATTTGTGTATTTATTACATAAATGTTTTAATGCTTCCATAGCACTGCTAATCGATAAAATTTATTTGATGAAAAGTAGGAAGTTTGCTTTTAAAATTCCGATTTTTCAACCTTTTTTCAGTGACATATGTGGCATCGAAAAACACGTCTGGCCAGGAGGCAGATTAATGGCTGAAAAATTCTTAGAATTTAAAGAGGCATCGAACAAGAAAATTTAGGGATGGCGAAATTCTAAGAATTTGGCACTTGACAACGGCAAAAGTTTTAGAATGTAGAGAGCTACAGAATTTAGGCAGGGCAAAATATTTTAAATTTATAGAACATCGGTCAGTAGAATTAAGATCCCACAGCGATTGCACTGAGAAACAAATCGACCTGCTTCTCGATTATGCGGATGGACGCAGATTAACTTCCGAAAGCTCAGTGAAGCAAGAGCTATACATAATGCAGCTATTTACGATTTCTGCTATAATAAACTGAAATTTAATATAATAATTTAACACTATATATCAGTTTACGAAAAACATGATGATACTTTTGAGAAATTTTCTTTAATTCCCCAGTACACTAAAAAAAAAAAAAAAAAAGTACAATAGATTATATAATGATATTACTAACAAAATGATGCCGATGACGCATTTAATTTTTATCTTTTTTTATTAATCTAAATAAATATGTCATTGAGTTTTCCATAACTTATAGTTTTTGCAAATTAAAAATGTTCAATAATATAATATGTGATTATGGTATTATTGGTATGGTACTATTCAAGGCAAAGCACACGAGGGTTATCTGCCTAAATGGAGGGATGCCTTCGTGGAGGACTTTCTAAGGGAAACTGGCTCGTATACACGTTACACATGGGGAAAACCACGAAAACGACCATGCAGCCAGCCCGTTCGCGGGATTCGAACCTCGGACCGAACTACCAGTGTTCAGCGTCTTTACCGCTCGGGCCGCTGGTGGTAATATGTATGATTATGAAAGCTGTGTAAAAGAAGAAAAATTCTTGCACATTCGTCAGGCAGCATACGATGGGCACCTGCTTGAGGAAAAGGATGCGTTTGTAGATGACTTTTTCAGGGAAACTGGTTTGGTATATTCAACCTAAAATTCACCAAAATACCAAGCAACGAACGCATTCGCCGGAATTCAAACTTAGGCAAAACTACCAGTGTTCAGTTGCAAAAGAGAGTTAACAACAATAAACAGGCAACATGTCTGAAATTAGTATTTATTGCATCCAACAGTGATATGATTTTCTGATATAATTTAATGGAATATCACTGTAAAAGAATGGGAATCTTTTTTTTTTTTTTTTCCTTTTGTAAGGAGATTTTTTTTTTCCGCTTTGTTTTCAACATTTGGTTGAAATGCAAATTAAATAAATATTTACAAATGCAGAATATTGGATAGTTATTGATGATTTCGAGATTCAGTTTCTGAAATCCATTTCATGTGTCATTTCCTTAAAAAGGTGATACTGAAACCAACTTTCGAGGAGTAAAATGATTACTAGAAAAGAGTTTCCGATTTCTTTCATTCTTTTATTCCCATTATAAATTTATCCCGTAGTTCTTAGAACATTCTTCTATCCGTAAGTGATGATTTGCTTTCCGAGAAAATTTTCTGAAAGGAATAAATTACTTAGTCTTCAAACCATGGGAAAATCTTGCCATCGCCGGTACTTAATTCCCTTCATTTACTGAGATAACCTGCTTTGTTATAAGTATGGTACTTGTTTTCTGATTTTTACTGAATTTGCATGCTCAAAGATATCTAAATAAAGAAACGCTATTGTGAATATCAGGGTATGAGTATATATATGAAAGGGTTATATATTTTTCAGAATTCCCCTATGAGCTGTTTATTCTTAGGGCAGAAAGAGGAAAAAGCTTGCATACATCGCCA